AAAATACCCCACGTTGTAGGAAAAACCCGTCCCCACACACACACACACACACACACACGTCCTCAGTAGTGGAGTGCAGAGACACACAGCTGCTTCAACCACTGCCTCTCCTGTCTTCAGACGTGAACTGGGGCTCATCCGTGCAGGCAAGCTCCTACAACCTGGCTCTGAATCACTGCGTGGGCCTGAACCTCGTGGAGGACCACGTCAAGAACTACAGGTCAGTCAARAGGGCTGATAAATAAATGTTATTAATGAAGCAGATTCACTAAGTAATGAAATATTTTCCTCACATCACAGATTTAAAATTGAGGAAGTTTTTTAATTTGACGTTTCTTTCTGAAACCCGGCTCTCCGTTTCTGCCTCTGAATGTTTCAGACCCCAGTGTTTGGTGCTGACCGGACCACCCAGCAGCCGCCCGGCTCTCGTGGATCTCGTCAACTGCTTCACAAAAAATCTCAGCCTCATGATGTGCGGGAATGTGGTCACTGTGCGTGCAAGGTTTTTTTTTTTTTTTTTAAATCGTCAGTGTTTCACCTGAAAGTGTGTAACGGTTTGCCGTTCCTCCCGGCCCCTCTCAGGCCGGCACGTCTCCGTCGGTTTTAGAGAAGGCGAGCAGCAGCAGCCACGTGTCGTGGCTGAACCAAAGGAAGATCAAGTCGTTCTACAGAGGAGTGGTGGCTGAAGAGCTCAGGTCTGGGGTTACCATGCTGCTCCAGGTCAGAACTACACCCTAATGTACAATAAACTCTTGTTTGTCACATAAATAACTTAAAGTTCCTGTGACATGCCTACCCTTCAAATACAAAACGTCAAAGAAAGCAACTTTATACTTAACAAAAGTGGCACATGATTTTACCCATTTTGTCACATAACCGGCCTATTTTCTTTTAAATTTGGCTCAGCTAAAGTGAAACAGGAAGTGACATCAAAGGGGAACTCATTAATAAATTATTCTACCTGGTCTCTGTTCATTAAAACAAAATTATTTAAACTTTAACCCTTTTTCATCTCTCTTTGATAGTGACTAAAAATAATCCAAAGAAACATCAGATTCTTCTCTCAGTCGGTGTTGTTRGCTTTTACAAAAACGCTCTGTTTACATGCCGACATTCCCCTTTGACATCACTTCCTGTTTCTTCACATGCCAATTTCTCAACAACTGTTCATCTCAGTGAGATGAAATTTGTTTTGCAATATGTTATCAATGTTATCTTTCAAAAGATGCGTTCATGTTTATTACAAAAATTTGACGTCACAGGTGCTTTAAAATAACTGAGAGTTCAATCCAAAGTTAGAAAAACTTGATGTGATGAGGTTCAAATGCCGAAAACAAGTATAAATACTGATTTTGGTCTGATAAAACCAGTGAGGTAAGGTTCCTGAAGGTTTGTGTTGTTGTGAGGGAAGCTTTCTGGTGAAATGTCTTGTTTCCATCTGTTCACCAGGGGGCAGGTTTGGGTCGGATCAAGCCCAATGTTCTGCTGATGGGTTTCAAGAAGGGCTGGCGCAGCGACCCACCTCTGGCTTCTCACAACTACATAGGAATCCTGCAGTGAGTCCATCCAAAACCTTAGTTTATGACCCTTATACCTGCAAGATATGTTGAAAATTATGAACTATTTTTGCCAGGAAAAAAAAGCTGTTTTTTGTTTTGTATCAGAACAAAGTTGTCTCATTTGTTGCGTTTGTTTTTCAGTGATGCGTATGACCTGCAGTACGGCGTGTGTCTGCTAAGAATGAGGGAGGGATTAGATGTCTCTAAGCCGGCTCAGTCACACGGTGAGCGGGTTCTTTGGTTTTTAACAGGGCACAATCTAAAACCCTTCCATCCATCATCATTCAAGTGACCAAATGGGATTAAATCAATATTCATCTGTTTTATTTCAGTGAATGAAGGTTTTGACGGGGGACCGGACAGTATAAGCACCATCTCCACGGCTTCATGCATTCGAGTCAGTGTTACCTGTACGTACAGCATCATCATGCACAGGAAGTGGTTTAAAATCTGTGTATTTTGTGAATATCTTGTTTATTTGTTTGCAGCTTCTGTCAGTATTGAACCTGAGCCTCAGCCCAGTTCGGTTTTCCAGCAGAAACAGGGAAAGAAGACTATTGATGTGTACTGGCTGTCTGATGATGGAGGTGGGATTATTAGTTGATTTCTCTCTTTTTTGTCTCGATTTATTAATGACTGTGGGATTTATTTAACTATTTGATGTTTTTTTACAAAACATTTACTTGTAGAAATACTATGAGATCTCTCTTTTTTATGTTCTCTGAAGATGTCTTTGTCCTCTACTTTTAGCTACTGTTTTACAAATTTTATTTAGGTTACTGTTTGGGTCATTTAAACTCGTGTTAGCTATAGTTTTACTCATTTTAGCCATATTTTAACTAATTTTAGCTATGGTTTTACTCATTTTAACTAAATTAACTCATTTTAGCTACATTTTAACTCATTTTAGCTTTGTTTTACTAATTTTAGCTACATTTTAACTCATTTTAGCTAAGTTTCACTCATTTTAGCTACATTTTAACTCATTTTAGCTACATTTTAACTCATTTTAGCTAAGGTTTTACTCATTTTAGCTACATTTTAACTCATTTTAGCTATGGTTTTACTCATTTTAGCTACATTTTAACTCATTTTAGCTATGTTTTATTCATTTTAGCTACATTTTAACTTTTTTAGCTATGGTTTTGCTCATTTTAGCTACATTTAATTCATTTTATCTATGTTTTGCTTGTTTGAATTCATACATCTTTGCTAATTTTAGCTTTGTTTTCCTCATTTTAGCTTCATTTTAACTCTTTTTAGCTACATTTTAACTCATTTTAGCTATGATTTTACTCATTTTAGCTACATTTTAACTCATTTTAGCTATGATTTTACTCATTTTAGCTACATTTTAACTCATTTTAGCTATGATTTTACTCATTTTAGCAACATTTTAACTCATTTTAGCTATTGTTTTGCTCATTTTAGCTACATTTGATTCAATTTAGCTATGTTTTGCTTGCTTGAATTCATACACTTTTGCTAATTTTAGTTTTCTCAATTGTTTTGTCCATTTGAACTGTCGTCTATAGTTTTTTATTTTGTTCTTTTTAACGTCTAGCTCTGCTTTTACAACTTTAGCTACTGTTTGTCTAATTTTAGCTCTGCTTGTTTTGACATTCAGTTTCAGCTTCTTTCAGTCGTGTTATTTTAACAGAAAATGTCATTTCTCCAGTTTGTCAAGGTTTTCTCAGTAGTCTGTGTTTTTCAGGTCTGACCCTGCTGCTGCCCTACCTGCTGACCCGCAGGAAGCGCTGGGCCAGGTGTAAGGTCAGAGTCTTTGTGGGAGGAGAATCGGACAAAAAGGAGGAGCAGAAGGAGGAGTGAGTTTTTGTGTGCTTCATGCAAACCAATTCGAGTTTTTTTCCCCCAAATATAATATTCAGTTTTTAAAAACACATAAAACTTTTCCCCAGGGTTTTGTCTCTCATTAAGAAGTTTCGTCTTGGTTTTCATGATGTTGAAGTTCTTCCTGACATCTACCAGAGTCCTCAGCCCATGAAGTAAGACAGATGAAGAGTGTGTGTGAAACAAAAAAACACTTTGTTTTACAAAACTGAAAAAAATAACTTTCTAGAGGAAACATTATCTGAAATACATTAGTTATTAGAAATAGAGTTTAAGCTTTAAAAATAGTGACTCAGAAAACTGAACCAAGATCTTTAAATTTTAAATCAGTTCCTGTTAGCTAGAAAAAGATTTGTAAAAATAGACAGATGTTGCTTTTTTAATGCAGACACAACTATAAGCTTTGCTTGTGTCATTCTGCACCAGCRTCCATCACTTTGAAAACATGATCAGACGCTTCAGGCTGGAGTCGAACCCCAAACAGGAGTCGGACTCGGACCCTCAGAGGCAGCAGAACGAACCCTGGATGATCACTGAACAGGATTTAGAAAGAAACATGGCCAAGGTCTGGCACAAGCTGATCATGATCCTCCTCTTCCTCTCTGTTCTGATCTAAGTTTAACACTTTGTGTGGCTTTCAGTCTCTCCGTCAGATCCGCCTGAATGAGGTTCTGCAGGATTACTCCAGAGAAGCAGCTCTTATTGTGATGTAAGAACACATTTCTTCTTAATGCTACTTTATCTTTGCAAAATGAAATACTGAAAAAAAAAAAACACTGAATTTCTGTCACTGACAGCACCATGCCAGTGGGGAGGAGAGGACTGTGTCCCAGTTCTCTCTACATGGCCTGGCTCGACATCCTGTCCCGGGACCTTAGACCTCCGGTACTGATGGTCCGAGGAAACCAGGAAAGCGTTCTAACGTTCTACTGCCAATAAAATGTTTCTCTGAGTGTACTGTTAATATGAATCTGACTTCTCAGTAGTTTCTGTTGTTTTTATTATAATATATTTCTCTGTTTGCTTGTTTAATCCAACATCTCAATGCCCATACACACTAAAAACTGCTGGSTTTATTTAATAACTTCATTAAGTTGAGTAAGTTGTTGAGTAAACTGAGCAATTTATACCTTTTTTTGAAAGAAAAAATGTAAATTGCTTCACATTTACTCAACTCGATTTAGTGTTGAATTTACTTAACCAAGTGATGTCAACACTTTATTTTTAGAGTGCGTAACTCTTTTCATAATGAGTTTCGTTCATATTCAAATGCTAAATTACTGGGGTCTGAATTTTAATTTTAAGTAAAGAAGTAAAAGTATGTGTGTTGGTTGTGTTGTTTGTGTTAGTTCAGTTGGTTGTGTTGTTTGAGTTAGAATAGAATAGAATAGAATAGAATAGAATAGAATAGAATAGAATAGAATAGAATAGAATAGAATAGAATAGCCTTTATTGTCCTGCAAGGGAAAATTAAGGTGTCACAGCAGCATCAGTACAGAGGTTCATACACTAGTTTACAAAAACTAGTCGAGTTGGTTGTGTTGGTTGTGTTGGTTGAGTTGGTTGAGTTGTTTGTATTGGTTGAGTTGGTTGTGTTGGTTGAGTTGGTTGTGTTGGTTGAGTTGGTTGAGTTGTTTGTGTTGGTTGAGATGGTTGTGTTGAGTTGGTTGTGTTGGTTGAGTTGGTTGTGTTGGTTGAGTTGGTTGTGTTGGTTGAGTTGTTTGTGTTGGTTGTGTTGGTTGAGATGTTTGTGTTGAGTTGGTTGTGTTGGTTGAGATGTTTGTGTTGAGTTGGTTGAGTTGTTTGTGTTGGTTGTGTTGGTTGTGTTGGTTGAGTTGGTTGTGTTGGTTGAGTTGGTTGTGTTGGTTGAGTTGTTTGTGTTGTTTGTGTTGGTTGAGATGTTTGTGTTGAGTTGGTTGTGTTGGTTGTGTTGGTTGAGTTGTTTGTGTTGTTTGTGTTGGTTGAGTTGATTGAGTTGATTGAGTTGGTTGTGTTGATTGAGTTGGTTGTGTTGATTGAGTTGGTTGTGTTGATTGAGTTGGTTGTGTTGATTGTGTCGGTTGAGTTGGTTGTGTTGGTTGAGTTGGTTGTGTTGATTGAGTTGTTTGTTTTGATTGAGTTGGTTGTGTTGATTGAGTTGGTTGAGTTGTTTGTGTTGATTGAGTTGGTTGTGTTGGTTGAGTTGGTTGTGTTGATTGAGTTGGTTGTGTTGGTTGGGGTGAGTCAAGCTGAAGATTTAACCATATTGAGTTAAAACTACCCAGAGTTGGCTTGGTCCAAGTTTGACCAAGGGTTACAAATTGGATTGTTTTCAACCCAGCAATTTTCAGTGTGTTGATGTTGCATGATCAGAAAAATGTGTAAACCATCACTTTGTTTTAAAAACACTAAAATATTTGCTTATTGTACAAATTAAGCTGTATAAGAAGTTATGATAGTTGAAATGAAAGATGATTACTAAAAATACTTGTTTAAAATGTTGAATTGATTGAACCTGATTTGTAAGTTATTATATGACCATTAAGGGTTTATTTAGTATTGTATATTATAAAACAGTTTACAATAAAGAGAATCAGCCATAAATAATCAAACAAACAAACAAAAGCCTGAATCAAAATGTCCTTATGCTTTAATGATTGATTTTAACTGCTAATTCTGTACAGTGCAGCCTGTTAAGCTAATAAGAGCATTTTGCTTTTTGTATATGTAGGTCTTTCAAAAGATGCTGATTATATTTTTATATTTATTAGAACTGTATATTTTCTGACATTGCAGAATACAGATTGAGTCATGAGGACGCTTGTCTGTCCCAATTAAATAAAATACAATTTTGTGTTCAAATCTGCTGGATTGTTTTTAATGATTTTTAAATGTCAAGTGAAATTATATGTCTGACACAATATTTTTTTGAATAAGATTCGTTTTGGATTGATATTGGCTGCATTTTTTAGGCTTGAAACTTTTATTGTCTTCCACTTGTCCACTTTTTAAAAAAACATGAACACTATCATAGTTACAAGGACTGAACAGTTGATGAACAATTGTTTTGAGACCTATGAATGATGGCAAAATTTTGTACCTATTATCACCTCAATTTTCACCTAATATTTAAATGGCATAGACTTTTAGAACAAGTTTCCAGCTGATGTAATGTTGCTGATGTAACAGGACCGAAACGTACTTTATTGAACAGAGATGGTAAAAATACAAGAGGTGGGCAACAAAAAATATCACAGAAACGTTACCAGCGTGGACGGTAACATTAGTTAACTTATAAAAAAAACATTAGTGTTTGATAATATTACTTGAACGAATGTGTGCCTTTTTGTTTACGTGCGTATTGTCAGAAAATATTATCCCGTCATGCGCAGCATCTGTCAGAGAAAACGATCTTCGAAGGTGGGACGTTTCACTGCGCATGCTCAGAGCAAAAAAATTCCACAAAGCTCCACGTCTGAACGGTGGCGCCTTGTAAACCAATCAGGAGCGGCCACAGTGTGTTTTGGAAACAACGTTCCTCCTCTAAAGGCTGCTGTGACGAGCGGAACAGACAGTTTAGAATCTCTCACAGGAGTTTCTCAGTCAACAAAGGAAAGTCGATATTTATCTTTTGTTGTCTATAAACTCTTTGACATAGCGTCTTTATTTGCGGCGAGTCTTGTTGCTGTACGTCCCACATCACCCTCAGCTCGAGGTTACGTCGACTGACAGAAGAGTTAAAAATGGATGGAGGTTCTCGACAAGAACAGACGACAAGTCTTATCATTAAATCGCCCAACCAGGCGCAGGAGGACCAGACCATTGAAGGCATTCATCTGACCTGGACTGTGAAGGAGTTAAAAACGCACTTGTCGAGTGTCTACCCTTCGAAACCAGTGAGTATTAGCCGTGTTGGCTAACTTACGCACCTATTTTAGCGGAACTAGCTTGAGGCTACATGTTGTGGAATGTTTCTGCCCTGCTAACAAGAACAGCTGTCAGCCATTTCCTTCACATATTTAGCTGTGTGTGCTAAATAGTTCTTATATAACCTGTTTCTAGATGTTACGTAGTTAAACTCGGAACAACAGGTTTAATATTTAAAAATTTGAACTTAAATAGATATTAAAGTAGCAACATTTTGGATAGTATTTCAAGCTAGCTCAAAACAAACTAAAA